TCGCACCCCATCTAAACCTGGCAGAAGGCAATGACTCAGAGTGTCTGGTATCTGTTGCCTCTGTAACCTGTTTTATTTTTGTAGGGTTCTGCTACTTTTATTGATTTTCCTCCCTCCTATAAACCACGTATGGTGGGAGCTGGGGCTGGTGCCTGGCTGACTGCAGTGGTCCTGGGGGCAGAGCCAATGGACAGGTGCTGACTGACTGGGGGAGATGCTGAACTTCTGACTGAGCACTTCTGACTGGAAAGACTGAGCATGTCTTTGCCCAGAGGTGTGACTGGGGTTTCCTTGGCTGCCTGGGATCAACTGTGCTGCTACCAGCTGGAGGTGAAGAAGAAACATCCCCAGGAAGGGCTTCTTCTGACAGTGGCTGCAGGCGAGGGCGGCAAGGGCCTGGGTCAGAGAGCACAAGTGCATCCCTGTCCTGGGGGCTGGAAAAGCCACCCAGGCTATCTCCTGTAATGGTCAGATAGTCATTCCTCCAACAGTGACTCCAGAAATCACGGTGGAACTGGGTGTGAACAGAAATCCTGAGAAAGAAAAACTGGAGAAGACAGTCTAGGTCACCCCTGCTGGCTCTCTATTTACCTGCTCGTGGCTGGCATTTCTGGCTCCTTCTCTTTTGTGAACAGAGCAGGTATAAGAAATACCTGTGGTGTATTTCTTTCTCTCTTGGCAGGCTTTTCTGGATGGGCTGGTGTATACAGAAAGTGAGCAGTCTGATTCAAGAGCCAGTCCTACGTTGTCTTTTGAAGGAAGGGTTCGCACAGTGCCCTGGGACCTCTTGCACCCTCCTGGCCAGGTTTTGGGAACCCTATGCCTATTTGTTACCTAGATGATTAACTGAGATGAGTATCTGAGTGATTTGTTACATAGCTGTCCCTGTGTGCACACCTGGTTGTGCCTTTCTCTTGTTCACTGCCTGTGCCTGCAGAGGCTGAGTCACGGCATAGCTGGCAGTCGGCAGGTGCCGAGAACAGCCTGTTTAAATGGGTCCAATGGTTCGTGCATGTGACAAAGTTTTGAGGGAGGTGATGATGGCAAGTGACCTTTTTGTCTTGGCAGATTTGTAAAATAAACAGGAGTTTTCAGAAGCACTCCCTGCATAGTTTCCCTTCTTTTTCCAATTGAAATAAAAGTACCTATTGGTGTGAGCTTGTGAAAATCTGAACTTTTAGTTGACCTACCTGCTTACCAAGGGGAAAATGGGTATGGAATTCAGCACCTCCTTATAGAGTTACAGGCTTCGACTTAAACTGTAAGTTTCTTGCCCAGTTTATGAACAAATACAAACAAATCTCACGAATACATAACAAATCCCATTGGTTTTTGTTTTTTGGTTTTTTTTTATATTGCAGTCTGCTAAGAGTCAAATTGGATCTGTAGGAAACAGCTTTGGAATTAAAATAGGAAAGGTATTTAGGATGTTGCCTGCTGTTCTGTTTTATGCAGCAGTTAATTTCTTTTATTCTCCTTTCAAAACTGAATTTGTTTCTCCAGAGAGCTTAGAGCAGTGCTGGGCCTCAAGTGCGGTGGGCCCAGAGATCAGCAATTCTCAGAAAAGAGAAGGCTGTAAGGAGTAGGTTTCTGTGGTCTGGGTAATAGAGTTTAAGAGTTGAAGCAGTGAAGTTGGATACTGCTGAGTAGTCGGTAGCTAGGGGTTTGGATCCTGCGTACAGTAGCCTTGGGTGCCAAAAGAGATAGAAAGTCTCTCCCTTTCCAAGTGGTATCAGTCCAGCTTGGAAGATGAGACCCTTGCAGTATTTGTTCTGGCATTCCCTGCAGTGGTCCAGCCTCCAGTTTTCAGCTTAGATAGCAAATTTGCCAAGCACTTCCCAGGCTAGCAGGTAAGAAGCTATGATTGTTGTCAAACTGTAAGAGTGCTTTAAATCAGAAGGTGGTTTGGTTGGTTTTTTTTTTTTTTCATTTCCCAGAGAGAAAACATGAGTTAATAAAAACTGTCCTTGCAGCTAGTTAGGTATGGTGAAAGTCATGTCCCCACCATAATCTCTGATCAGCTTTGTTGCAATTTAGTGAAGCATTTAAGTGCTTGTCTTCAAGTTTGTTTGATTTAATCATACTCTGGAGAAACGTCTGCTGAAAAGAGCTGCTGTCTGAATCAGGGCCTTGGGAAACAGCCATGAAATAAATGATAGAGCAGGTGCTGGGTTGTACATGTCTGCTACTGGTTGCAAAACATGGGAGGAGGAAATTTTTCTTCTCCAGATCATGCGAGAACCTAGAAGACATGAGGAAAATGCTAAAGTGTAAATTGCTTTGGAGAAGGAATGTAAAGCAGCTCTAAAAGGCTGGTGAGTATGGGGGCAAGTGTGCAACCCGGCAGCAGTCTCTGCCACAGAGGTGAACTGGGAGGCAGACATGAGAACCCATGTACCTCCATCCCTTGAAAGGTCTACTCGCTGAGATCTCACTGAATGCAGTTGGTAGACACACCAAACATGCCCTGTATACAGCTGCCCAGGCTTTGGATACTCTCTAGGGTTTTCTCTTTCATTTTTATAAATAGCAGAGACTTTCCGAGAGGCTATATTTGATGCTGTATGGGGGACACTGTGTCCTTTGTCAGATGTATGCCATATGACTGGGTTGGTGTGTGTTACTCCCTAAAGAAGGAAGATGGAGTCTGGCTCATTAGTAAAGATCGGGACAAACACATGTCACTTTCCGCAAGGCAAAAGCCTGGGGCATTTGTTGTTCCTGCACCAATCTGGAGCACTGCTTTTGTATGTCCTGCTCTTTGGCTGTAGTGATCCCTAGAGACTTCCTTAGCAGCAAAATCCCATAAAAAGCAGTACTGCACAGGGCAGGTGTTCATTTTCAGAGGTCATGACCAATCTTGTAGGCATTTGGGTCAGAGAGAAACAAAAGGCATTTCTGATATCCCAGGACAGGTTTTTGCTACATATCAAAAGCTCATCCAACCAGCTGGGGAAAAAAATGCTGCTTCTGAAAAAACGGGGAGGCAACTGGGAAAAAATGAAGCCTCTTTGCCTTATGTGTGGAAGTAGTTTTCTGGTTCAAAATGTAAGATAATATTTTAGTAGTAGTAGGAAGAAAAAGACAAGTCAAAGAACAAGAGGGGACTTTGGCCAAATCATTGGAAACATAGTGGCTTCTAATTGAACATACTGGGGGATCCCAGGGAACCAGTGTCAGCATCAGCTTGTGCAGAAAAATGGACGTGTGTTTAATTCTGCTGGACTGCTGGCTGCATGGTAGGAGAAATGTTAGCCCTTTCTTTTGCTTTCTTCCTGCAGGGTGGTCTTAAAATCTCTTGATACCTCTCACCTGAAAATTAAGCAAAGTGCCTACAAACTGCCAGCAATGCCCTTTACTTCACCTTTTTCTGTCTGTTTGCCTTTGGATCAGAGCTCCTTATACAAATTTGGAGAAGATAGGATAAATAGAAACAAACAGTGAAAACTCCAGAGTTGGAAATATTTCATCTTATTGTTTTGAGTAGCACAGCAAGCCCTGTTAGCGATGGGGACCCCTCCCAGCTAGCTCAGTGTAAGTAGGATGTGGGATGGTTCCTCTTGGTGGTCATATCTGTTCTGTTGCTCTGAGAAGCCTACTTTTATATAAGGTACACTGTGACTAAAAGTTGCTGCATGTGTAGTATCAGCGTGAGGTGAGTTGTAGCAGTATGTTTGACCTGCTTGTGTATGGTTCAAGCGAGCCAGATTTTCACAGAGCTGGATACTAAGGATCTTCAAATAGACCGTGCAAGATTCAGGAAGGAGCCAGTGGATCACAGGATGAGCAGCGGGATATGCTCATGGGATTCTCGTTGCACATTCAGCTGTGGCATATGCACAAGACTAGTTTCAACTCTCCAGTTTTCCAAATTATTTTTGTTTTGGGTCAGAGTTAAGGCTATTTAAATGCTAATGTTTCTGTTGAGTGTGTCATAGCTATTATAGTATGTGATTTTCAGGCTTGTTCATACTTGATGTGCTACTTTTTTGTAATCATGTGCATCAACAGTTCTTCTACACGTTAACATATTTTGAGGCTGTGTAGGAGTTATGTGCCAGAGGGAGTAAATCTAGCTATGTATATAAGGTAAATTACAAATGTGGATTATAAGTGCGAGAATCAGGGACATTCCATACCAAAATACTTCACTTGAGTCAAGTGGCCTATTTGAAGAACTCCATTAGCTTGTAGTAATAGCAGGCATTTATCCATTGTATGCATCAGCTACTGGAAGGCTGAAATCAGACACAGTTATCCAAGTTTTGTACCTACTCACTCTCAAAAGAAGTCCATCCCAACTGTCTGATATCCACCCAAGCTTAAGTCAGCCTTCAGACCCTTTTCTTTGCAGGCTGGTATCAACAGCAGAATTGTGACCTTTGATATCAAACCTACTGGCATCTTTCTTATGCATTAAAAGAGTAATGATGTAGCAGACAGCAGTCCAAGACATTGATCTTCAAGTATGAAAGCTGCTTATCATTAATTTTCTGTTTTGCACATAGGAACAGAACATGTTTATGTTTGGGTGTGTAACTGGGAAAGCACTCAGGTGTGTGTGGGGCTCAGGGGCTTTGGATAGCTATTGTGGCACACATACAGGTAGGCCTGTATGGTGAAATCTTCGCCTCACTAAAGCCAGTGACGAAAAAATATCCCTGACTGTCAGGAATTAAATTGGACCTTGAATTTCAAGGGTGTAGTCTTGTGGCTTTTGCAAACTTAACAGGGTATTTAAAAAAAACACCCACAAACAAACCACAAAACCCCAAAACCTGCTTAAAAAAGTGATTGTAATCTCAAACCCTGCATTCTGGTATTTTTTCCTTAGATGAGATTTCTGCTCAAGACTTTTGTGTTACCATGGGCAGATATGATACTTCCTCGATCAGAGACAGCTCACTTGCTGGTATTAGTTAGGTAATTTTCCTCAGCATGTTAACGTGTGTGTAGCGGTGGTCAAACAATAATCCCATCTCATTTTTCTCCCTTTGCAGGCCCTCTACAATTCAATCAAGAATGAGAAGCTGGAATGGGCAGTGTAAGTATACTGCATAGAAATTAGGAGTTTAAAAATAGTACCTGTGTAGTAATCTGTTTATACATCCTATGTCACCATCTGAGTGGGCTCCAAAGCCTGTAGAAGATAGCCGGTGTGCGTAATGAGTTTGCTTTTCTGTTAATGAATGACCTGGCAATACTGCCTCATCTGTTTCTCCAGCAAGGGGAGTTGTTAATGATAGGAGCCAACTGCATTTATAAGGAAAGAGGACGTTTCATTTAGTAGGAAACTTCAGCCTGAAAAGAGAGAAATTAAATCCTCCGTTGTTATATGACTGCATAAATAAAACAGGAGTTGACTTCTCACTTTATCTTTTGGTACATTGTGTCAGAACCACTGAATAGAAACAAACGCCTTGGATTGAGTTTCCTGCTGTTGGTTTATTGTCTTGGTTTGTCTCCTGATTAACTATGGATAACTTGACAACAACCTAATATGAAAGATGATAAATTGGACAAAGTCTGATATCCCCCGTCCTTAGCTGCTTTTGACAGGCTGACACTTGTTAACTATGGAAATACTGCAGACCGGAAAGAGCTTCAATTTCTGATTGTGTTAAATTGACATTTCTCTGTGTTTAGGTTTTACGTGGTCTTGGTATGCCAGCAAAGAGTAGATGGGGTCTGCTTTAGATTTTGCTGCTTGCAGAACAGTGGATTTTGGTGCAAAATAAAAGAATGATGGCTTTTATCTATTTTGGTGGTACAAGATGTTTACCCGTGTGGATTACATATCTGAAACCTCACCTTGTTGAGAAGAATGTATGTCTGGGATGCATGCTCCTGCACCTTTTATGCTAGAAGTTCTAACAACTGCCATAGGTCTTGCAGGTTGATTGGCTTCTAATCTTTCTTGTTTTAAGCTCATAATATGCAAATGAATTTCTTGTCAGTGTGCATCCTCATGTACAGGGGCTGCTGGTCCTAACTGGGATTCCACCTCCTGTTCAGAAGTGTGTTAAATAATGTCAGAGTAATGAGGAAGGTGTGCTGGTATGGGGAATCACCAAGAAGTGCTGTCTCTAATAAGCCTCATAAGAAGCACGGTGGGAGACATTTTCCCGGACTGTATCTTGGACCTGGAATATGCTGTGTGAATCTTACATGTCACAACACCAGAGCTGTTTGCAAGACACTCTCTCACAGGTACTTTAGACCAGACAGAATCCATTATGTGACTTTCTCGATGTCAGAATTTCCCTCCAGCTCTTGGCAAGAGGCCATAATGTGTCATACACTTGGGCAGCCTCCAGGTGGGAACTGGCTCATGCCTGGCTCTGCTTCCATGAGCTTCAGTCAAGGTGATTTATGAGATAGCTTGCTCCTGTACAGGTAGTAACTGCTTTGGCATTTACATAGTCCAATCCATATCCCTTGCTAATGAATTGTGTGGGGAAAAAATGTAAGCAGGTTGGAAAAGGGAGAAATCAGAATCCTCTTAAATAAGGCTTTGGGATGTGGGTGTAAATCCACCTTCTCCCAGCAGGATGCTCAAAGCGGCCAATTGTCCATTCCAATCTCAAACTCACACAGGTAGCTGGGACTGGTATGACAATTACTTTCCATGCTGTAAAACAAAGCTCATTCTGGGCATAGTCAAAGAGGTTGTGCCTTTATCTTTGGGGCTGAGAGCGCTGGCTGGAAAAGGGAGTGTGAAGATGTCTCTTCTCACTTTTAGAGAGCTTTGTGGTTGGTGTAATCACCTCAAGGAGCACCAGGACTGCCTGAGCTAGAGGGAGGAGGCGCATCACTCTCTTGCTTTCCTGTCACGATCTGCAGAGAAAGGTAGATAGGAAGGGGACATGGTCAGTTTTGTTGTGATGGGACTCCAAAGATTATCTCTGTTTCCCTGATGCAGTTGGCAGGGGAAGAAGTGGGAGGTAAGGCAAAGGTGGAAACAGGGCTGCAAAACCCAGGATAAGTTCCCTCACGATGCTGGCATGTTAAAGGAATGCCTTTCCTCCAGCCAGAATCCCTTTGAGGATCTAAGACTCTCTCTTGTGAGCTAAGTAACAGTTTAAGAGCTTCTCTGGCAGTAACGTTATTTAGTGGATTAATGACTGTCAATAGGTCCATAGGTAGGGGAAGGTAACAGCAACATGTAAGATGAGGGAAGACTTCTACATGATCCTTATTTTACTAGTTGCAAGGTAGGTGTGTCATCATCCTAAATGGTTTGCTGTCCATTTCCAGTAGAATTACAGTCTGATCCAAAGCCCATAGAAAGAAAAGACTACCAGTTATTCCAATTTTGTAGTCAAGAGAAGTGGCACCTTCATCAGCAGATGTGCTCCAGAGACTTTCATTAGAAGTATTCATTTATCCTTTATGAACAGGGAAGCATGAGTTCAGCTCTGGAAGAGAGAATTGCATTACAGTTCTTTTTCTGCCGTAGTTCCAGGTTCAAGTTTTCCAAAAGGTTAAAAGTGAATCACATGCTGGGATCTGTAAAAGAAACAGATCTGACCTCAAATTTACCCTGAACTGGTGGATGTGGGATCCTGAATGCACACTCCTGCTCTGCACTGCACCTCCCAAATTTTTTGGTTACTTTTCACAATAGAACTGGCAGAAAACTTTCTGCCAGTTACTTGGCATGCCTTTTACTTTGCTTGCCATTTCCTCTTGCAGGCCTTGTTGTTCTGTGTCCTGAGAGAAAAGAGAAAAACAGTATGGGAAATCTAACCATCAGAAATACAATTATTCTGCCTTTTGTCCCATTCCATATTTCCTCTCTACTGCTTACAGTTCTACATCTCTCCTGTCTGTTGGACTGTGGTTCATTTCTTTGACCAGCAAGTGAAGCACTAAGTAGTGACCAGACCTCACTGAAATCATTGGCAGAAGTTCCTACTGACTGCAATGAAACCACGTACCTTTTCATTCAGTTAGTCCAATGCATCCAGTTTTCAGTGTGCTGAAGACACTGGAACCACCCCAGGAGTGCATGTAGCCCCAATAATTGTGTCATAATTTCTCAGGCCGCTTAAATTTCCCTGAGGGACTTGATACTTCCATGCGATTTTTTCATACTCACATGGTAAATTCTTGTTCTTCAACACTGACATCACCTGTAAGATGAAATGAATTCAAGATCCTGTGAACATGAGTGGTGAGATTAAAAGAATTGGGTTTGTTCAGGTGGAAAAGGGAGCACCGAAGAGAGGGATCCGAGTGCATTTTTTTTTCAGCGTGTAAAGGCTGTTCTAGAGGAGAAGGGTGTGAATTATTCTCTCAACTATTGTGGATAGGCTTGCATTTGAAACATGGGAAGTTTGGGTTGAACATTAAAAAAAGCTTTCTAGCAATAAGCCTTTCAAACCAGGGCATAGGTTTCCCTGGACGAGCTATGGAAGTGCTTTCACTGGAGGTTTTTGCAAACTGGTTAGTCTGCCCAGAATGTGTTAGAAAGGTTAGGTCCAGCCTTAGAGGTAAAGAGATGGATTAACTTACTTCTTAACATCCCTTCAGTCCCATTGTCTATAATATTCTGGCCCAGGCTTTGTAGATGTTTCTCATCTTTTGGCTTTTGCACCGATCATCATCAGTTTTAAGCTGAAGAAGAATAATTAATTTGATTTCAATGGTGCCAGAGCTAAATATGTTTTGTTTATGTGATGTCTTCGTGGAAATGTGGTGGTGAACATTATTTTTCTCCGTTGTTTGTAATATTATCTCTACTTTCTGTTGAAGATGATAGGAATAAAATCATCATCTTAAAATAGGCTGAATAGTGATCTAGAATTAACATACGAAATTGCAGTGCTGCTTAAAAAAATGCAAAAACAAAATGGCTGCATTTGAGCCAGTTGTCTCCTGAAAGGTTTCTCTCAGCAGGTCAATGTAGTTCTTCAGGAGAATCACTTGTTTTTTGACTAGTTGATGGTAGTTTTCTTTCCAGAGAAGTTTAGACATAAACACAGTATATACTTTTTTGTTTTTCTGGACTGCACTGAAAAATTCTCTCCTTCCAGCCAAACCAAAATAGGTCTTTGAGACAGTGATGGTGGGAAAGGGCCGCTGCCAAATCCTTTCTGTGTTTCCTGCGGCAAACTGACGCTGAGACTGGGGTGATTATAAAGACATCTGTGCTGAAGCTCACCTTTTTCTAGGTCAAACCCAGAAATCTCTCCCTGTTATAATTAACTCTTCATCTCCCAAGTTCTAGGATGTCTTCTGTTTGCAACTTCATGATTGGTTTTAGAGAGGGGTCAGATAGTAATCACCTGGCTCTCCTTTCTTCTCTCCTCACTTTGGGAAAGATGCCAAAACTTCTCTCCACTGGTTTCTCAAGTCAATTTCCTAATACAGATGCTATCACTTGCACAGATTCATGTAATTATATGTTATAAATCTGAATTTATTTTTAAATGCCACTTGTTAAATGGATAAACCCAGCCTTTTGCCATGTCATGTAAATTTTCTATTTGAACAAATGCAGAGACAAAGCAGACTTTTAAAAATGAAGGGCTTGACCCTGTCTTTCCAGCTTAGTGACTTCGAAGTTTTCCAAGGCAGAGCATCAAATCAGACGGTAGAGCATACGGAAACGTTTTTGTTACTGAGAGAACCGGATGGTGATTTTCTTCCAGAAGAAAAAAATGGGACTTTCTTGTATAGGGTCTTTCTGGGGAGAGGCAAAATTATATTTCTTCACCAAAATGGCAACATCTGCATTTTTGCATGTGTTTCAAATCTGTGTGCTTAAGAATGAGGCAAACTCTTCCTGGTTGTCAGGGATCACACATTTGGGAAGGAAACCGTTGCTGTTACAATGCTGTGTCTTCAAGTGATAGAGCAAGCAGATTCTGGCTTTGGTGTGCTGGTCCTCCTGGGCAGCCAGTGCCCTGTTCACTGCTCTGTCTGCAGGTCTTTTTCCAAAGAGACAAGTTAAGGGAGGTGGAACTGAAGCTCCTTGTTTCGAGAAACCTTGAAAATACCACATGCTGTAAGCAGAGTCTTGGAGAACCTCTACAGGTGGTCACCAGTACCCTGCAGAGCAGAGACTCTAGCACCTACAAGAGGGTTCACAGCCATCAGTCCCTTTCAGTTGTCAGAAAGGGGTCACCAGAGGAATCAATTCCAGACCCAGAGCCAGGAATGGTCTCCCTCTGCTGATCAAAGACAGAAAATCTCTTTAAGACTTCTGCAAACCTAAGTGGACCCTCATGATGATGTTTTGCCACTGAAATGTGTGTTGGAACTGACGTGGGTTTTTTTTCCCCAAAGCCACAGGTGCAGGCTATTTCCTGTACCATATGGAAAGGAGAGACACTGAGCCTGCCCCTGACAAGGACTTGAGCTCTGCCTGTGTGACACTGGATCCATGACTCTGAACATACCTGCACAGAGACACCACCCACTGACTCTTACCTCCGCATCATTGGAGGCCTTCATTCTGGGGATGTTACAGGACTTGAATCATCTGTGAGAGCCATCTGAGGATGAGGAAGTAGTTGCAGTCCCCCACAGGCTAGGGTTTCAAACAAAGATGATTTTTCAGGTGTGTGTATCCAGAGGCCAGCTGAATTTTCTGCAGCTCTTCCTTGCAACCATACCCTAAAGGCTGGTGAGGGATAAACTCAAATTATTACACGATTGATAAAGCCTATCCAGGACCTATCTATTCTGTCAACTTTGGAGGGTATGTAAGCAAAGGCTAATACCTGAACTATTTTGCTAGTTTGAAACTCCTCCCAATTGTCCTGCTTTCTTCTTGTGTTTGACCACTGAAGCAACATGGAGTATTTGAAGAAGTGGGTCCTGGATCCCGTGGTTTTATTCCCACTAGTGTTTCATATTCAAGATCAGAGGGAGATAGAGGCTCCTTTTAGTTCGATTTTCTCAGCTGTTCATCCATTTCTCATTCTCTGTAATGAGTCCCCCTTGTCTCTTTGGTTCCCATCATTGCATCTTACAGACTGGCTCATGCATCTTGACCTCATGAATCTTGTCAGAGCACTCAGCTCTCACAAGTGCCTGAGGCATCTGAGTCTCAAGGATGTCATATTTTCAATGACAGATGAAAGGACCAATTAAAGGTTTGTTCAATGCTGCCAGTAGTCATGACAGCAGATGCCATTTCATCCTCGTCTGCCCTATCTGCATTTATCTTTTGAAGAATTCTTGTTATATAGCTGCCCCAGAGATGCTGAGTTTGAGCACACTGCCCTCAGCACTAGTCATGTCTAGGATCCCCAGGACTACTCATCAAACCACCTGTGGCTGCTTGCATAAGGGCACTGGTACATTCCCACAGGACAGTTGATGAGTATAAGATAATTCGCTCCCATAGTTCCAAAGGAGATACCTTATTCAAAAAAAAATGCTAAGCCATTTACTGCAGTAGGTCTCTGATGACAAGGAGAAATCCTCTGTGTCCTTGGCTGAGATCCCAGAATTCACAAGGCACTTCTATGTGACAAATCAGCCGGAGTGTTTGTGTCCCATGAGAGGTATTGGTCTGGATTAGGTACCATAGACTTGAGTTGAGAGAATTTGCTCCTGGAACAGACACATATGTAAGAAACCTGTGTCACACAATGGTCCAGAGTTGCCAACAGCTAGTAAGTGTGGTAGACACAGGAAGGGTTGGGACAATCAAAATTGTCAGAAATTCCAACACTTTTTCAGTTGGGAGAGAGCTTCAACCAAAGCATGCACGAAGAAATCTTTATTGCTTTGACCAACAAAAAGTTTTTTGCAGATCTCTCTGTTCTGGCGTGGGAAAACAAGTATCAATAGGCTGAAAGATGCAAGGACTGCTCTGCCTTGCGGGAATCAGGTCTTTAGGTAAAAGTTTTGTTCGTCTTAATCAGGAGACTTTGCAAGACAACACCATGATGGTATGGCTTGCCATTGTCGCTATGTCTCTGCAACTAAATCAAATGTCTGGCACCTTTGTGTGACTTTCAGGCCGAAATGTGTAACATCCATATCCATACCATTGAAAAGTCTTACCCTTCAAAAGAAGATGCTTGCCTCTAAACTGCCTGTTGGGGTGATGCTTGCCTGTGCTGATTCCTAAACAGTGTCTGGAAATTGTTTGGGAGCGTGCTGGGCTGAGACCATGCCAAGCACAAAGTCATATGAGGTGATCAAAGTCAAATGCCTGGGAACGTTCCTGGCACTGAGTTCGCTCATATAACCTGTGTGTCTCTAGATTTGGTTTCCTTGTTGTCAAACGAGTCTATTATCCTTGTAACTCCTCAGACTAAGTTATTTCCCAAACGGCCATTTCAGCAGAGATCAGGACAACACACATTGTCACTCTAGCCGGCAGTTCTTGGATGACATTTCTTTAGATGGTCATTCCTATAAGTAGACATAGTGGCAGTGTGCCCCAAAAGGAGCTTTTGGACTGACATATGCCTTGCTGGTCCTCATCTGATACATGCCTTTGAACATATGCCTGAGCTTACTGTCTCCGCTGATCATCTGGGTCCAGTAAGATGCAGCAGTTTGAAGTCCACCCCCACTATTAGTGATCATTACACTCAAATGATAGTGATTTTTTTTTTTTTTAATCGGGTGCTGCTCTCAGGAGAAGCATTGCTACCATGATTTTCCAATGGCAACCTTCATCCTCCCTGACACCTTTCCCAGTCATCTGGAGAGGAATGTGTGGGGACTTCAAAGGACACAGGGCTGCTCTGTAATCTGACACTAACTGTGGTTCCTCCAGATACACCATCCACCCAGATTCAGTGGTCTGTTATTCTCTGAAAACCATCGTCCTACTCTTGTGATGGACATCCTTTGTTTTCTAGGTTGCCTGGTTCTTTTTGCCTTTGGCTGTGACATGCAAAAAGGCATTTATTAGTCAGGCAATGCTTGTGACTTGCTGAAATGGGTTGCATTGTTGTCCCCAAGAGCTGTGTTGAATACATTGCCCTAATAAGTAACATTTTGAGCAGCATTTTGTTTCTAAAATACAGATAACATAATTCACCTAGTGTAGTTTTTATTTTTAAATTACTACTTTTATGCTAGTCTGCAGGGGAAAATAAAGAAAAGGAGGTAGAGTCTGTGTTTCGTATGCTAAGTTAAGGGGTAAGCCACAGTGATCTGTAGTAATCTAATTCTTTTCATCTACATGTGAACTCATGAAGAAATTGGAGATTTTTCAGGAGAGCCCAGCAGGAAAACGTTTCACATTTTAGCACTCATAAGTGGAATTAAAAATCGGTGAGTTGGAGCACACAGAACACCCTTGAAATCCTGCCTTTTGAGACTGTAAAAGGGAAACTTGGGCTTTTTTGAAAAATCCGGCTCCTACGTCCTGTGCTGATGAAATAGGTGAACTGAAGTTTTGCTATAATTTGACTATGTTTTGGTACGTGTCTAGATTTCTTTCTAAATAGGGCCCCCTCTATAAAGAGAGAGGTATGCTTTGACAAGGAGCATGCAAGAATTACTGAAATGAAACTTTGTTGGTGAGTCTGTCGTTCATGCTTGGTTTTCACTACTTTTTAAGGGATGAAGAAGAGAAAAAAAAGTCTCACTCAGATGGTACAGATGAAAAGGATAATGGGAGCCAGACGAAGGCTGTCAGTCGAATTGGCAACTCAAACAACCCGTTCCTGGACATCCCTCATGACCCCAGTGCCGCTGTGTATAAAACTGGATTTCTGGCTAGGAAAAGCCATGCAGATATGGATGGAAAGAAAAGTGAGTATCATCTTTCACTCTTAATGTCTCATTTTCTTGTTATCTCTGCACAGTGCCACTTACGATGAGCCCATGTGCTTCTCAAGGCAAATAGTGATGCTTCATTAGGGGAAATTGCAGCAATAACAAACAATGCAGCAATTGGATTATCACAGTCACACTATTAGGCCAAGATTTACAATGTTCAGTCCCATTTGCAGCAGCTCTAATGCATGAGCATAATGAGTAATGTGATACAGCAACGCAATGTGAATCTTTTGTGCTAAAAGAAAATGAATCTCATGGTTTACAGAAGAGAAGACAGTTTCAAGTGAATTACATTAGCTGTTCCATAGTAGTTTGGTGATTTTCCTTTTCCTTATGTGACATCAGATTGCTTCAAATCTGCCCTCCCCTCGAGCCTGTCTTTAAAGTAAGGCTGTTCTTTATCTCTGCTTGGAAGATGCTGTAACCGTTCCCTTCCCTACTTTCCCAGCCTTGGGTCACATATCCAATGAAATTAAGCAGCTTTTGGTAACAGCTAGATTTATGCCAAGCGGTTCCTCCCTGTCCCTTCTTTGTAATAATCCTACCATATCTCTTACTTACTTTGATTATCCTCTTTCGTTCTTGTCCTACTTCCATTTGTGGTGCATCAAAGGCTTCTGATTCGCCTGTATATGTTTTGTTGTTTGGACATCTTCATTTATTCTTGGAAACAGCAGAGGCTACTCAGAGCATCTGTATTTTCCATTGCTGATGATCACCTACTCGTGGTTCATACTATCCCGAATCCTGAAGGCAAAGTGTGACTTTGTGATGGGTTTCCAGTGACTGAACTCTCTCCTAGCTGGGCTAAGCATTTTGGTGTTCATATATTTTGCTGTTATATTTTAGAAGGTACAATTGGAGGTCAGTGCTTTCAAGTCAGGGGCTGACAGCTGGACAACTAAATTCAAACAGAAATGTCGAAATCAAACTGACCTCATTCTTTGTGATGACTGGATGCTCTGAATAGCTTCATCTTTACTAAACTTCTGTTTATTTAACCTAGTTGCCTTTATTACATTATTTCTTTAATTATAAGTAATCAGAATTGCTTATTATTCAGCACGCTGAATGCTGGGATGTTGGGGATAATCCTTTTATGAGTAATGTAATTAGGACCATGTTTTCAGAAGTTTCTGTACACCTTAGAAGTCTGTGTCTCATTGTCATGCGGCTCTTGAAAAAGTTATATTTGGACTGTCCAGTTGCAAATAAAATGAAACTCTTTTTTTAAAGTTCGTTAGACCTTTTCATATTTCTTTTCCTAATGGCATTGTTGTAGGGCAGAGATCAGCCGGTGTGGGATTGCTAATGAAGTGATGTTCTAGCATGCTATGTGTATTTTCTCAGCAAAGGGGTACTGAGGGCTAAAACACTTACGCAGTCTACAGGAGAAGGAAGTAGTAGGGCCCGATGACTGGAAGCTGAACCGAACAAATGACAGTTAGAAATAAGGCCGATCGTGTGAGATGAAAATACTTAACCTCTGGAGCTAGGAACTAATAACCTCTTCACCATCACTTGATATCTTCAGATCAGGATGGGATGCCTTTCTGAGGGCGATGCATTAGTCTTGCATAGGTTATTAATTTCAATGCAGAGACAAGTGGATGCTGGTCAGTGGTGCCTGTTTGGTGGAGAGTGAGGTTAGATGCAGGCTTCTGGTCTCTGGCATTGTGACTGTACAGCCTATGCATTCCCTCCTTCTATTGCAGCTGAATTTCAAACTGGAGCCTTCATGCTGAATCCCCTTTTTTTCTTTTCTTTTTGCCCACTGCCCCCAGGCTGTTTCTAGGAATTTGTGGGCTGGATATGTTGTTTCTGTTACATTCTTCAACCTCTAACTGACTTTAGATTTCTTGATGGGTGATTATTTTTTTTTCCATCTGACTTTTTTTGGCTTCCCCTCTTTCTTCCCCTGTGGCTGCATGAAGAGGGGAAGGGACCAAGATGCCATATGACTACTCACTGCCAACTTGGGTGTGCAGCAGTGGCAGGGAGGAAGGACGCTCCTGAGAGAGGCACTGCTTTCTGAGCAGTGTCTCGTTGATCCTGAGCAGTGCCTGCCAGCCTGCTGTGGCATGGAGAAAGGGTGTTTCTTTCTGAAAACTCTGCCACGGCACAGAGCTCAGACCTAGCTGTGTAGGGGCAGTGTCCGCCTACCTGCAAGAGCACAAAGACTGGATCTCTCTGGCCTGCTTTCTGCATTGCTGCTGTTCCCTTCTGATCCAGTCCAGGGCTGTCGTCAGGGTTTTATTACTCTCTCACCCAGCGGGTATGTGCAGGCACTGTGCTGAGCTGCATTGTCCTTTGAAAAGGAGAGTACAAAGGAGGTTTAACACAGGACTAATGCAGCTCTCCTGTTGCCTAGACAAAGTGTAAAAATGGATCCAAGTTAAATGGGTTTTCATTTGTTTTCTTTGCAGCTCCCCGGGGAAAGCGAGGCTGGAAAACCTTTTATGCTGTGCTGAAGGGAACGGTCCTGTACTTGCAGAAGGTAGGGGAAATCACTGTCTTTTGGAAGCTAATTAAAGAAGGATAAAGAAGCAGGGATCCTCTCTGCTCTCACAGCCCACCTCTGGGCTCCTTTTCCTCTGACACACAGTGTAGCTGCTCTCTCTCCCCGTCCCCCCATTCAGGCATGAATCCTTTCATTGACACCCTCCCCCTTTTCACACTTTCAAGTTCAGTTCCATTGTCCCCATCTGCATGTGCACCCTATCAATTCCAGTTTATATCATTGCTGAAAAACTAGCCAGCTTCACCAGCAAAGACAGCATCATCTCTGTGTCTTGCCACATTCTTCTAGGCTGCTTTTAACAATGCATTTCATACATATGATTTCCCCTCCTGTAAGGCTGTCCTCCTTTCCCATCTCATAGTATACTTGTCTGCAATGACTGCAAGACCAGCTGCAAAATGATTGCAAGGCAGCTTGGCCTTGGTAGGAATCTGCAGCTTCTGCTCCATAGCAAAATTAAAGGATAAAAGCATACTTTCCCCGCTCCCCCCAAAGCAAGATGAGACACTGATTTCTAACAAACTGTGCTCCCTGACAGCAAGAATTCTAAAAAAAAAAAAAGTCAGCTGAAATCCTTCGAGTCTTTTGGCACAAGCTTAAATACGTTATAGTACAGCTTTAACTATTGTCTTGTAATGTGAAATGCAACATATGAGTAAGAACTGTCAGAATCAAATAAATGGCAGCAGCTAAGTAGATTGTTAAGGCTTTTTGCCCCCCAGCATAGGTGAAATATTCATTAAATGGGTCGTGTTTGTCCAGACTGCCCTGTATTGTAGAAGTATGCTCCTTTGAAAGCCTTTTTACGTTTCCACAATGTTTTGCAACTATCAGGAGCACAAGTTCAAGTGCATACTGCTGTTTCCTTATCCCCTGCTGTGGCTTTCTGAAGTTGTTGGCTTCATTGAATCCGACCTGGATAATCTCTTAGAAGGGAGTCATTTGGATCAAATTCTTAAAGCATGAGGTTTACAAGGTGGATGTTCTGGGTGCAGCACCTTTTTGAGAGGGCTGAAATCCTGAAACAGACGGAACAGTCTGCAGTCAGGAGGGAAGATTTGGGCTGAAAGTTGGATGTTACATGCTCAAAGCCGGTGCAAGAGACTAGAACCAAGTCTGCTGAATCTCAGCTGAGCCTTCCATCTGGTCTTCTTGCTGGCAGCAGGTTCACATTTTACCAAAGTGGCCTTCATGGCGGGTTTGTACTTGCTGTTTCCTGGGTGAAATGGAGTCACTTGCTTTGATTCTGTGAAATAAGTCATCTTTAGTGTTCTCCTGAAAAGACTGCATGGTTCCCTAAGAAGTCTCATTGTCCACAACATGCTAATTAATTTCTTATTTGATCTTTCAGGGAGAACTAATAGGCTTTCAAGGGGAAGAAATAGAGATGCTGTCTATTTTAGAGTCTTTAATACTCTTATGAGTATCACTGGCATATTAGTTTAAAACGCTTTCTGTTTCACAAAATGTAGAGATGCTAATGTAGCATGCAAATTTTCTACAGAATGTTGCTCTCCCCAGTCTTGCCCTTCATCCTTTGGAGAGCAAAAGACTGCATCTTTGCAGAATGAAATGCATTGCTGGAGTTATTGGTCTTATTTGTTTGTTATTTGTGTCTTGCACTTGTCACAGCATTTGAATTCAGCAATTACAGGGTGGTTACTCCACGAAGCTGCGCTCTCCCACTTGGTCCTGATGATGCTTACACTGAAGCCATCTTACTGTAGCACGGTGACAAGCAAGTCTTTTGCTTTAGTGGCGTAAAAGCTTGACAGAGGGTGCTGATGGGAAGTGACTCATTCCCAGAGTAATGGGGCAGCTGTGAGCCTCCCCAGGGTGCCTCTGGTCCCTGCTCAGCCACAGTACCTCAGGCCGCAGCTGTGAAACATTGTCTGACTTCTCTTCACTCAACAAGGTCCAGCCGGGCTTTGCTTCAGCCCTGAAATAAACTTTGCTCTATTAGGGATGTGGTATTGCAGAAGTTAAGGGTGCCAGCATTTTAAAATGCACAGCTAGACCAAGCTGGTCTAGTAAAAGTTGCTGAGCTGTTGTTTGCTTTTGCAATATACCAGGAAACTGAAATTATCCTAATTTCAGGAAGTCCAGGAGCATTTTAGAACAGCTTGATTTCTTTGCAGAAATGCATAGCTCTGGCAGTAGTCATGGGCAAAGGATTCCTTGGCTCTGTTTGCCTTGTCTCCTGATTATGGAGTGCTGTAGGACAGGGTGCAGTCACATACGCACACATTTTCTCTGTTTTTCTCACTGTCTGTTTGTAAACCTACCTGAGTGCGTTCTTGTGCAACCTGCTGTAGGTGAACCTACTTTCGCAGGGAGGTTGGACTAGATGATCTCCAAAGGTCCTTTCCAACCCCTGTCATCCTGAGCTTCTGTGTATTTTATCTATGTATTTGTGCAGGTAACATCTATGATGATGCTTTGATTGCACTGAGTGCTATTTGAGCAGGGAAGAGAGAAATCTCACTGTTCTAGGTACTGTATACACACAAACACATGTACAAACCTCTGCACGATTACTTTCAGTGTTTATCTGTAACTCAGCTGTTACTGCCCAAGATACCACTGTAGTATAAATATTAATTGTTTGTAGCAGCTGTGATTCCCACAGTGGGCACCCAATTCTACTGTCATCCTGTTTGCATACCAGTCCAGTTCTCCTTGTTTTGATGTCAAAATCCATGAGAGTGGTTTGTAAATAATGGTCACTTGAGATTTACTGGGGAGTTTATCTGGGCAGTCTTGGCTCTGTGCCCACATTTTTTTCCCCATTGGAACTGTTCCATGCTAATTCCTGTGATGCATATTGTTTTATTTTAAAATTAGTGATTTAAGAGAGATGGTTCCTGAATTAGTGAGCACAGAGGCCAGTGGAGGGGCTCTGTGGAAGCGTTCACAATTAGCCAACTAAACATGTCTGCACAGTATTATATAAAATGAGAGGTTTGACATGTTTGGGATGTTGGCTGTGTCTCTGGGCATCCTCAGGCCAAGGTTAATTTCCTGCCCTCTGTTCATAGCAAGAGGAAATTGCAAAGTAGGAGCTTGACAGAATGTCTGTTCACTAGACTGACGTGGGATGTGAGGTGCGTACAGAAGAGGGTTTATAAGGAGAGGACGTAAGGCTGACCTCACTTTCTTGCTAGAAATTGCTTCTGGGAAAGCAGTGCAGCACGTGGACCTTTGTGTTTTGTTTGGACTCTTCTGTGAGGTTTGCAACATATTCGCTCTTTGATGTGGCACTTTTTAATCTTGTGGGCTTTCAGATATTTTTATATAATTTTTCTCAAATGTGTTTCCTCTATTAAAATAGAAGAAAATAGAGAGGCAGGCCAGAATGATGTAAGGTGTTTGATGACAAGACTTTCTGAAAGAGAATTTTGCAGCCGTCACATGCAACTGAGCAGAGATAGCCACCCACGGTACATTGGCTGATAAAAAGCCAAATGCCATACTCTGGTCTATCAAAAACGGATTTAGAAACACGCTGACTCCAGGTCAGCAGGATGTGGGAAAGTCATTCTCCAGGAGTCTGAGAAAGATGAATTCAGCATGTCAGTGCGTTGTGTGCAGCACTCACGTCAACCTTCAGTTGATAGAGAGGTCACAGTTCCTTTCTGGCTTCTGATGTATTTCTTGCCACTGTCTTGGTCTAACTTTAGTGAGCTGTCTTCCATTTCAGCTCAGCCTCCATGCCGACACCAGCACATCGCAGCACGTGCTGTCCTTGATAGAATAGGAGATATGGATGTTCCTGTTCCCCTAGCATTCCCTGCCAGTTGAAAAGAGCTGGAGGCTGTAGAGAAGGAATTTTGACAGCACATTCACATGCTTCCAGCTTTCTCTGAGGCTGGCCAACTATGTGGAGACATTTCCGGTATGCTGATTGGTGCCTTTGGAGAAACTGGCAGAGCCCCAGCTGTCAAGGTAGATCAGCCAGCTGATCCGGTGGGATTAGCAAGGATTATAATGAATGCTGTCTGTTAGGACGTGTTACCAGCCAGGACTGCTTCTGTTACTGCCCAAATGTGGAGTTCTTCTGGAACAGGTTTAGACACCAGGGCAGGTTGTGGACATTGCGTGCATCTCACAGAGGAAGCTGGGAGGCAACAGGCAAGGCTATAGCTGACACTATCTCTGGGCAGTAACTTGAGGAAAGCCAGAATATCATGTGTCTGAGTTCTTTAAGTTCATTTCCTGGACCTGAAGTTTTCTCCGTCTCCCTGGACAGTGGAGACAGTCATTCTTCCCCAAACTTGGACAAAATAAATCAGTTTTTGAACCTATGAAGGAAGGGGCTTGACCTGGGGGTTTGCGTCCTCCATCTGCAAGATGGGGCTGGGCCAGACGTTCGACAGCCTCCTCTAGTACTCATCCTTCAGCTAGGGACTTTGCCAGATCTGTCTGGAAGAAGGTTTAGAGAGTGCTCTACGTGGGAGTAGGCAAAGTCCATGATGATATGGAGATCCCTCCAAAGCTTGCTGGGACTAAAGCTATAAGAGAGAAGAGACATTTGGTTTCCAGACCTTAAAAACCCCTTATGTCACAGCTGTTTAGGTTGAAGGCATCTGTGCAGCAGTGCTCTGCCCTTCTGCTAGGCCTGTCAGATCTGTGGTGGGTTGTGCCCTTGTCTGGCCCCAAGTGGAGGTGATGGCTGCAACAATATTGCTGGTTAGCTGCATCTCCTCTGGTGAAGTGTCTCAGCAGCAGCAAGTTCTGGGCCGGCACTAGCTGGCCCTCAGTGAGGAAAGATGAGATGTGGCAGAGGAGCAGGATGTTTTGTCCTCCATTCTGGTAGGTGGTCACCACAGCTGGTGACTCCCCATCCATTGAAACTCATCCTGGAGAGCCCCGACCAGACCCAGCCTGGCTGAGAGCCCAGATGCCTTTGGCAGCGGTGTAGTTGCCTCTGGCTGCAGCCCTGGTCTGTGTGCTGCCAGGTAAGCCCTGTAAACCAATTCAAGCACTTTAACCAGCTCTTCTCTGGAGTGGGTGCCTCTCTGGGTATTTAAGCTAATGCTGTCCTGCACTCTGTTGCCTACTGAACCCCATCTTGTAACTCTTGTGTTCAAGCAGAGGGATTAATAGGTATCATGCCTGCAGGGAATTATTCCTCTGTTTTGCAACCATCATGTCCCCTCCCTTGGTGGGTGTTTCAGATAAGACTGGTTTCTATGATGTCCTAAGGGGGACAAATGGAGTCAACTTTGGCCTCCCCTTCAGAAACTTTGCGTATGCAGCATTGCTGGCAAGTGACTTTTCCTTGAAGAAGCTCCTGGCTTTCCCAAGCCATTTATAGTCAGATGGGCTTTAAACTGAACTCGTCACTGCACCATGATTGTGCCCTCATCCAGCTTCTGTCACTCAGGACATCACAGACAACTTCCAGGCTGAAGCTTGCAACACAGAGGAGTTTGACTCCTTGCTTTTGTCATTTGGTGTTAGGAGTGGTACTGTTGTTGTGTCAAAAACCTGGATGGTCCTGTGCTTGCCATTTTCAAACCCTGAGCAGAGAGATTTAAAGGAGGTTGCTACGTCTGCTTTCTGGAGGCTGATAAGGAGGCTTCTCCACTGTGTGACCTCCTGGCTAGGAGGACATACAAAGGTAGTTGTTTGAGAAAAGTAAAAATTGAGCAGTGGAGGCTGAGAACCCAAGGAGGAACCAGCAGGTGAGCAGTGGAGGTGGGGAACTGGCCATGAAGGTTTCCTGAAATGAAGAGAAATATTCCACAGCTCTTGCGATCTTCAAATATTCCCCGTTTATCCCTTTTCCTGTCAAGCAGCTAGTGGAACTAATTCTGTCCCTTGCAAAGAGATCAAAAAAAAAAGAAAGAAAGAGAAAGGAAGTGATGTTAAAGGTAGTGGAAACTGCAAGTGCTCAAGTCAGGTTGCCTTCAGTTCATATACTTTAATACTATTCATGACTATGCAATAAGGTTTTTCCCTAGGTTAAGGAAAACGGAGTAGCACATGGAGAAATAAGATGCCGTTTTTCCCCTGTTAACTCCTACAGGATGAATATAAGCCAGAAAAGGCTTTGTCAGAGGAAGATCTGAAGAATGCAGTTAGCGTGCATCATGCGCTGGCATCCAAGGCAACAGACTATGAGAAGAAACCAAATGTCCTCAAGCTTAAAACAGCAGATTGGAGGGTCCTGCTTTTCCAAGCCCAGTAAGTGCTTTCTGATTTGTGCCAATCGTTGAGGAAAGAAAGCAGTGCTGAAGGAGGGGTAAATTCATGCCTGGACAGGTTAAAGCAGAGGCTTAAGAGGTTCGATCTGTTTATTTGATCAGAAATAAGATTAAGTAGTGATTTGATTAAAGTGCACAAGTAGTTCATGAGAAAGAAACATCAGGTTTTAAGAGGCTTTTTAGTCTAGCTGAGAAAGGCATAACAAGATGCAGCAGCTGGAAGCTGAAGCCACAGGAAATTCAATTTGGAAACAAGGCACAAACTTTTAACAGTCAGGGTGATTAATCATTGAAACAAATGACCAAAGGCAGTCTTGGATTGTCTGTCTCCTGATGTCATCAGGTCCTAGCCGGATGTCTTTCTAGAAGATATGCTTTGGTCAGAAATAAAGTTAGTACTTAATACAAGAATAATTTGATTAAGTTCTTCAGGCTGTGATATCCAGACAGAACAGATGACCTGCCTTTTGCTTCTGACATTAAAAACCTGTGCATCTGTCTTCTGCATGAGCCCTTTTCTACTGAGATTTGTGTGAAACCTCCTAGAGATCTGTGGTGTCCAGCACAGCTGAGCCTGTGGGATATATGTCTGAATCAGGGCATTGGTTAGCTCTGTTGCCTGTGTCATTTGGATTGGATTAGGAAAAGATGCATACTAGGGTGAATTGTGGACCTAATCACGAGCCAACCTGTGACTGAGATACCTGACACTTGCAAAGATAGACCAGAAGACTGAGCAGACTCTAAGACTTGTCCAGTTCTGCTTATTCTTGCTTTTAGAATGTTTTGAAGGGGTGGGAAAGAGGTAGAGGAGGCTGAGTCAACAGGTGCTTAATACATGTTTCTTCCCCAGGAGCCAAGAAGAAATGCAGACCTGGATCAACAAGATTAACTGTGTGGCTGCTGTCTTCTCTGCACCACCATTTCCAGCAGCAATTGGCTCTCAGAAGAAGTTCAGTCGCCCGCTTCTGCCAGCCACCACAACAAAGCTATCTCAGGTGAGCTGTTTTTATATAGAGGGTGGGTGATGGTGATTTCTCTGGCTGGCTGGAGACTGGATGGTGGTCCTGGGCATTTTTCTGTGGCTGTAGCCACTAGCATTCCTAGGAGGTAGAGGCTTGCATGGTAAATCTCTGCTTGTTTCCTGATGCAAGATTTGAAGTGGGGGGAGAGAACGAACAGACTTGAATATAATTGTTTTAGATTTTTGAAGAAAAGAAACAACCACCACTGTTCCTAGTACCAGATACAGAATTTTCATCCCACAGTTAAGGCTCTGCAGAGCACATTTCAAATACTGTCTGACTGGTGTTTTTTTTGAATTTGAGTGTTTATTGCCACTCATTTCAGAAGAAGTGGGCATACTTCTGGTCTTTGGTTTATTGGGGTGATAAAAGGTGAAAGCTGATGCATCAGGCAAGCATCAGTTATATTTCTTCCGCAATATTTTTCCATACTCCAGCCCTTATCAGCTCAGGGATTTCCTGTTTAATGTATTTTTATAAACTGCCTCTTATATAAAAATCTTTGGTCTCCCCTTGTGATCACATAAGCTTTTAGCTTCCACAACATCCTGTGGCAGGGAGTTTCACAGCTCTGCTACTTCTTGCATGAAAAAACACCTGCTTCTGCTTGTTTCAGACTGGCTGGGTCTGATGCTTGCGCCCATATCTCTGTGTACTTTGGGAGCTATGATGCATGCCTGCAATTCCTCCTGCACTGGCAGGAACACGATGTTGATCAGGTTGACAGAGTGGCACAGGTGATGGATCCCAATCCTAGGTGTATACTTTACGAGGTACCTCCTGTGGATTTTAAAGTCATCTGCCCATGTTGGATTGCTTCTTCAATGCATTTTTTTTTGCCATCTCCATAGCTTAGCAACGCTCCTTAGAAACCACTATCTCATAATCTGCATTTCTCTAAGGGGGTGGGTTTTTTATGTTTCCCCTGCTTTTTCCCTCTACGTGGCAGTAGCCTTTCTTCTTAGAATGTGGTGACCGACTTTCCATCTTCTATTCTGGGTTAAAGTTTAAAACATGCCTCATACAGAATAATACTAACTTGTCTCATCCTTATGGTTTTACCTTTTGCTAATGCATACCTTTTTTTAAATACTATATGGGGCTTCAGTAATTTACTCCCAGTCACCAAAAAAAAGCTTTTTTACTCATCGTTGTTCTGTGTGATTGTTCCATTTAGCATGTTGTTTTCTAGTCTCATTGTTTCTGTTTAATCTGGAAAGGAAAAAAATAGAACAGAGCCCTGTGAAGGGTAGACGTGAGAAATGGAAAAAGATAAGCTGTTTTAGCTAAAGGCAGAAGAATGTTAAGTGTTCAAAGCAGATAAATTCAAAGGCAAGCAGAAACATGTCTGCTTTTATCTGTCAGTGTGGAAAAGCTGCCAGCAGGCTGCTTCTCATTTGGCGGACAAAAAAAAAAATGACTTGTCAAATCTCTGTGGTTGCTGTTCAGGATTTTGTGGGCTGAATCACGATGGACAATACTTCTTCAAAGGGCCTGTTCCTGGTCAGGCAGAAGTTGGGATGCAGTGAGAACCTAACATGGGCGATGAAGAAAGGTTGGACATGACAGGTTGCGCAAGATTATTGTACCAGCTGTGCTTTCAAAAGGAGATTGGTATCTGATCTTGGTTAGTCCAACCAAAGAGCAATGTAACAAAGCTATATATAAAGGAACAACCAGTCTAGAAAAGATCTACTAGGGTTTTTTTCCCCCCTTTTCTGTGCATGCACACAGAAAAGCTCCAAAAGGCTGCTGGCCTGGAAATTACAGGTGCCAAATTAATAGCTGCTTGAAGACCTCCTGTCATCAGGCTGTAGAAGTCACTGCAACAGGATGTCACTGGGACCAGGGATTCAGCACAACGTAAAGAGTGGTTGGGCACTAATAGAGAGATCAACAGATCCAGGTTAGTTACTAACAGCAACAAGAATTTTTGGCAGCCAATAGCAAGTGGTTTGAGCCCTATCATGTATAGGCAGAGGCAAGTTATCCCACATGTTTCTTTCTTCAGTTCTCTTGCAAAAGAGTTAAAACACAAGATTAGCTGGGGCTCAATTACCATCCTCTGTAGAAGTTTCCCCCTTTCTGCTCTTTTCCGCAACTCCAGCTTAGTGAGCTGAGAGGCTCAGTCCCTGATGCGACCCCCAGTGCAGTGCAGGCATGTCCAAGCTAGGCTTGAAGCTGTGAGCTGTGCAGCCGCACCATTGGGGGACAACTAGTGGCAACTGCCCCCTCATCTGAGGCTAGGTACATACGTGAGAGCTGAGGTGGGTACTACCTGCTGTTACGACTCTGGTTAAGTCACTAAGATCTGCATAATCATATTTTTGAGTTACCTAATTCAAACATAATTTCAGATGCAAGCCTAGAAATGGCCAGAAGGCCATGCTGCAGGAGCTGGAAACCTTCTGAGCTGAGGGAAGGTTAGCTGACAGATGGACTGGAGGAAGTGAGAGGGCCTGGGATTATGATAAAGGAAATTGCCTAGAAAGGGGGATTAGCAGGTCCTCACTTTCTCCAACTGCACAGTGGGATAAAAGCAGCCCTTCCTCTTCTGGATGCATTGTATTGTTCTAAACAAACGGAAACCGCAGAGCAGAGAGTGATTGGTAGTGCATAAAGGCAGGAAGGGCCCCAACTCCATGTCAGGGTTCCTGACATGGAACTACTTTTACATTGCAAAGACCTGGGGGAGGGTCTTTGCCTGTCTCATTCTGCACTTGGTCTGACTGCATATACAACAGCCTTAATTAATTTGCCAAAAAATGTATTAGAGCAGAAGTGTCATGTTGTCAGTAATGCTCTGCAGCAAGCTGCTTCCGTTGCTCTCAGCAAGGCAACGGATGACAGGTTTGCCATCCTTTCCAGTGGCATCTGTTAGCTGCTGAGTTTTTCTGCAAACTTGGCCACTTTGCTTGGGTGCCTTTGAGAGAGCTGTTGGGGACAGAGCTCTGGGATAACAGACCTTGTCAATTTAATTAAAATTAGTTAAAGGAATGAAAGAGAGAATGAGAAAGAAAAAGAAACTATTTGGTATTATTGTGCAGGCGTCTCTCTATTTTCCTTTGCTTATCGAATATTTTAGATTGTTACTTAAGCGCGTAATGTGTTTTTGAAGGATGAACAGCTGAAATCCCATGAAGCTAAGCTGAAGCAGATTTCCACTGAACTTGCTGAACATCGCTCCTATCCTCCTGACAAGAAGCTCAAAGGCAAGGAGGTAGATGATTACAAACTGAAGGACCACTATCTGGAGTTTGAGGTATGTATGAGAAACATTATTACCTTTAATTTTTAGGTGTGAGTGGTGCAGCTGGTGTTATACTTGGGGTACAGTCCTAAAGTTCTGCATTTTTCACCTTATTTCACCAAGGAGTATGTTCTTTTTAGACAGATATGGCACAGCAATCCCGGAAGCTGGGATGTGACTTCTCTTTCTGACAAGGACTTTGTGAGACCTTAGCCATGACTTTAGCTCCTCATCCATTAAATGGAGGATAAAAATGTGACCCTCTGTCCTTGTCTGATGTATCTATTTGAAGACATGACAAGGTCTTCAGGAAGGGACTGTCTCGTTTTGTAAGACTGTGTTGCTTAGTGTGTTGGCTCCTCAGTCTTTACTGAATGACTGCATTATGCATTATTGCAGATCATGATAATTGTCTTCCATTGGTATGTTCCAAAGGAACTGCTCTTCTAAAATTATTGTCATAGGCAATCGGAGCCATTTTTGTTGTGTACCAGTGAGCTAGATGTCAGGATGAGCAGGAAAAGGATAGAATTAAAGATCACGGGATTGAGTGATGCAATTTAGGCAGCTGCATTAGGAGATTGTTCTGAGTATCTGACAGCAGCTTTTATCCATTGTGGTGTCTGCCACATTTTAGGACTATGTGGGAGGAGGTCAGCAACCCAGCAGATACCTGGTATTTTTCATGGCTGCACCTTTGAGCTTTTTTGCCCAGAACTACGAGTCAATGTTGCCTTGGGTCTGAAAGGACCCTGCTTTAGATAGGCACTGCCTGGCAAGGAAAATCTGTAGTCTGAAGAAGAGAAGAAGCAGATAAAAGTCAGACAGACCACCTGAGGAGATGCTGGAGACAACACAAGCCTCCCGAACTGAAGTATGCTTCCCTCCATGTGTTATATGAGTTTCTTTTGGAGGAGCTCTTTTTACTCCTGGGCTTGACTGGTTGCATACTTATTCTTTTGTAGAGGGTTGTAACCACTGTGTTGTGTTGACTTTGCTGTAGCTCTAGGCTGCATTATGTACAGTGAGTTTGAGATGTTTTGCATAGATGTTTTGCTACTGTTTTGTATAGGGACACAGTTGGCCAGTTTGTTCTTCCACATCCCACGTACCTGAAATCATCTGACCACCAATCAGATGAGGAAGTGGTGGACAGGGCTGCCAAGGAAAGGGTACACAATGATGTGAACAGGAGAGACTACATAATCAATAAAACAGGGGTGAAGTGAGGTGATGGGATAGCTCACATGACTGGAGTGCTGCCATGAATAGATTCAGGCTTTTTAGAAAGGACAGAGCAGGATGGCAAGAAGGGGGACACACCGTTTATGTGAGTAGCAGGCATACATCAAACTTTGCCTAAGGAAGGGTGATGAGCCAGCTAAGAGCTTATGAGTCAGGATTGGCAGGCACACCAAGATGGGTGTCATTGTGGTGGCCGTCTGCTAGGCCTTTTTCAAAAAACTGGAACAAACCTTGTGTTTGCAAGCCGTGGTCCTGTTGGGCAACTTCAGCCACACCTATATCTGCCAGAAGGACAACACAGCAGGGCACAAGCAGTCCAGGATGTTTCTGGAGTGCATTGACAACAGCTTCCTAAAACGAGTGACTGAGGAGCAGACAAGCAGAGGAACTTTGCTGGACCTCTCACTTATAAACTAGGAAGAACTGGTTGGGGATATGATGGTCAGGGTAACCATGGCAGCAGTGACCATGAGGTGTTGGACTTCATGATCCTGAAGGGAGGGACCTAAGTAAAAAGTAGGATCACAACCCTGGATGTCAGGAGAGCTGACTTGGGCCTGTTCAGAGAACTGCTTGAAAGATTCACGTTAGATATGGCCCTCAGGGGGAAGAAGGCTTTGGGAGAGATGGTCACTTTTCAAGGATCACCTCCTTTAAGCACGGGAATGGTTCACCCTGACAAGCAAGTAACCAAACAAAAATGGCTGAAGGCCTTCATGGATGAACATGTCGCTCCTGGCAAAACTCCACCTTAGAAACGAAGTGTATAGGAGGTGGAAGCAGTGGCAGGTGACACAGGAGGAATAGAGGTACTGCCCAAGCATATAGGATTGCATTTAGGAAATCCAAAGCCTATGTGGAGTTGAATCTGGCAAAAGATGTGAAGAGCAAGAAGAAAGGTTTTTACAGGTATGTTAACAGCAGGACAGCTAGGGAAAAATATGGGCCCGAGTTGGGGTCCCATTATGGGGCTTGGGACCTGGTCACAAAGAACCAGGGAAAGGCCAGGGTACTCATTGTCTTCTTTGTCTGGGTCTCTACTGGTAAGATCGGCCTTCAGCAGTCTCAAATACATAAACCCAGTGGGAAAATCTGGAGTGAGGAAGACTTACCCTTGGTGAAAGATGAGAAGTTAGGGAATGTTTAAACTGAACATACGCAAGTCCATGGGATCTGATGTGATGCATCTGTGGGTGCTGAGGGAGCTGGATGATGTCATTGCAAGGCCACTCTCAATTACCTTTGAAAGGTCATGGTGATCAGGGGAGGTTCCTGAGGACTGGAGGAATGCAAATATCGTTCCTGTCTTCAGGAAAGGCAAGGAGGAAGGTCCAGGGAACTACAGGCTGGTCAGCTGCTTCTCTATCCATGGTAAGGAACAAATTCTCCTGGAAATCACTTCTGAACACATTAAAGACAATAAGGTGATTATGAGTAATCAGCATGGCCTTATGAAGGGGAAATCATGCCTGACCAATGTGATAGCCTTTTACAATGAGATGTCTGGTGTGATGGATGAGGGGAGAGCTGTGGATGTTGCTTATTTTTGACTTTAACAAGGATTTTGGCAGTCTGCTCTAACATCCTTGTAAACAAGCTGATGAAGTGTGGACTAGGAAATCGACAGTAAGGTCGTTTGGAAACTGGCTGAACAATCGAGATCAAAGTGTTGTGATCAATGATACAATGTCAGTTTTGAACACAGCACTTGGATGTACAGAGCAAACGGCACACACTCTGTAGGGGTCTTGTGCTTTGGGTACTTGACACAAAGTTTATTTTCTGTCAGTTCTAGAAGCATGATGAGTTGGGATGAAATGTAGGCCAGCGTGTTAGATGATTTTAGAAAGAATGATGGAGAAGGAGATCGTTGTGTTTTTTTTCTGTTTTCTATTAATTTTATCATGGCAGTCTTTATGGAAATATTCCTCAGGTACCTCAGTACAAAGCAGAACAGTACAGCCCAGGAAACGAAAGATATCTTCTTCCCTAGTGAGGGCCTTGAACAGGAATTGAACTGTGCAGTTCAGATATGTGATCAGCACTGCAGCAACGCCTGTCTAGGCAGGCAAGTGGTGGCACCAACTTCAGCTGTGTACAAGAGATAGAAGGTGCTGCTGTCACAGTCTGTGTTTAACTATCAATAGCTTTTTTTTTTTTTTTTTTAAAAAAAAGATGGTCTATATGAAAATCCTGGAGGGAAACTTTCTCCCGGTTTTGGGGGTTCTTCACCTTCCCTTCAGAACAAAGTCCTGTTATAGTCAGGCAGGAGCTGGTGACAGACCTTGCTGCATAGGGTCAAAGCAAAAGGGAAGGAGTCAGGTGAGGCAGTATTTTGTACTTAGTTCTTTCAGGCTGAGATCGCAGAACAGACCTTGCATCTGTGTACAAAGGGCCATGCTGATACATCTCCAGAAGTACACCAAAAGGGCCTGCAAGTCCCAGAGGAAGCACTATAGTCCCATTAGGAAAGAAGAAGCCAGGTTCCTTTTCTTTAGGCCCTTGTAATCCCTTTTTGTTCACTCACCAGTGTTCTCTTCATTCTTGCCCCTGATGAAAGACAAGTGAGATGATGTTTACTTCTGAGGGGACGAGAACCAGGAGGTGCCTGGTGCTTGTTCAGGGATGCAGCTGGGAGTGTTTCTTCTTGCTGGTGTCCTTGCTTGTAGACACCAAGGAAGGAACTTTTCCTCTTTGCTTGCTGAGGAAGTACTGCTCCGGATGATGGTTGTTCATTGCAGCAAATTTATGGTTTGAGAGAGATCTTTTGAGTGCTGTCAGGTGAGAGGTGAAGCCAAAAATTTGATGGGTGGCTATCTTATCTCCTTTTTATTATGTGCATTTAGCCGTCAGAGATAATGTTGCAGAAGCTTTTGAATGGTTTTAACTTGTGGTTTTACTTTCTTGACAGAATTTTCCAGATTGATTTCTTTTAAGGAAAAATTTCCACCAGCTTTAATACCTAGCTTCAAATGTCAGCTCACTAAACCAGCAAGTTTGTTGCAGCTGAAATCAAAATAGAAAGTTCCAAATGCATTGCTTGATTGCAATAGAAATCATGGGCTTACAGAGTCCAGGGCAAAATTGCCATTGGCAGGCATGTAGGGCAAAAACTGGTCCTGTATTTCCATACTGCTTGCTTGGTGACCCTGGTAGTGTTTACTGGACCAATAAAAAGCAGAAGTCCATATGGCAGTAAAGTCCCTCTCCCCTTGATGAATATTATGCTGATCTCAGGCTTAGAACACTGGCTTGCCTTCTCTTTTGCAGAGGTGTCCCGTTTGTTGTGTGATGAATCATTCATCAGCCTGGTGTATTCTGCATCATCATCAGGGTTCTGCTTGCTGTTTCTCCATTTCCTTTTTTTACTGAAGGACACATCTTACCTGCTTCATGTATTTGTCTGTAGCATTGTGGAGCTGGAGCTCCAGATATAGAATTGATAAGAATGCTTTTTTTATTTAATTTTTAGATGGATTCTTTTATGATCCTCCTCTCTGAGGTTTTATTTATTCAAAGGACTCTTTGGAAACCCAGTCACGTTCTCTCCTTTTTTTCCTTTATATTCCACTCTTCAAAGCAGTTACCAAGCTTTTTGACTTCCTGCCCTTGGCTAAGTGTTACTACCAGAACTTTATTATTTTATTATAAACTGGAAGAATTTTTCAGGAACATAATAGTTTGGCAACTGTTTTGCCACTTTGAAATATAAATTAACAATCTGTATGGATGTTTATGTCCTCCTTTCCAGGCCCCCAGCCTACTGAGGTCACCTTAGTTACAATGCCTGCACCACATCTTTAGTGGGTATGTCAGGGGCAGGTTATTGAACAAATCTCGGGAGGTGGGTTGCTCTGTTCTCAGGACCTCCTGCCCCAGCTTCTGTTTTTGAGGCCCTGCAGGGATCTTCTGTTAATGTACTGTTATTTCGTTCGTTGCTGAGATGTTCTGTGCACAAAGATGTTATTGTGGCACACGGAGTGAAATCTTCCCATTGGAGAGGGACAGCTCCGCTCCAGACAAGGAACAGAAAAAGGGGGCATGGCACACAGCAAAGTGAACTTTTTCCAGTTGAAAAATACAAGTGTCTGGACAGAGAGCAACCTTCATCATTCACCATGAGTGGCCCAGTCAGGGCAACATGCTGTGCTGCTGTCATAGCCCTCTCATCTGCTCCTTTTTGTTAAGGTCTGGTCTTGGAGAGCATCCTCTCCTAGCTTCAGCAGTGGCCAAGCTGCTATAGTCTGAGCTTAGCAGGACCCTGCTTTGGTTTCTCTCCTGTGGGCTGAAGCAAGGAAAGCAGGACCTGCTGGCAGAAGGGGAGGGCTGCAGGGGAGAGCTGTAGCCAACAAGAGCAGGTTTTTTTGTGGTCCCTCAGTTTGCTGCACTTAATCTCCATGCCTTCGTGGGGCACGTAACATCTCAATATGTGTGAGCACAGAACATGGCTGAGCATGGCTAAGGTCAGTAAGCTCTTGCTTGGTGTTGTTACTTAGAAATCACCATCCACTCCAACTAGCTGGGAGCCACTGTTCAGCAGAGCACCAGGATTTATGCGCTGCAGAACTGAGCATCTCTAATTGCACAGCACTCCCGGGCTCAGCATGCCTGAAATCCTTTTTGTACAGTGTAATTTACATTAGCCACCATTGTTCATGTCCACATCAGGCACCATTGTTCGCATCCATATTAGGCTCCTGGCTTTCAAGGCCAACAGAAACCATTAAGTTACCCAGACAGTCTCTCAAGTGCTTCTGCAGAATTTCTTCCAGACTGATTCAGGCCTTTCTTTTCATTTCCAGAAAAATCGGTATGAGATTTACGTTGGCCTCCTGAAAGAAGGGGTGAAGGAGCTGCTGAGTGGAGGAGAGAATGATGCACCAGGACTGAAGAAATCCCACTCGAGTCCCTCGTTGAATCAGGAGTCTCCAGTTAGTGCCAAGGTGAAACGCAATGTCTCGGAGAGGAAGGACTACAGGCCAGAAACACCCAGCATTAAGCAGAAGGTCACTTAGGGTGGAAAAGACAACTAGGGGAACAGCCATGCAGCAAAGTACCGGTGGTCAAAATTTTTTCATTTAATAACCTGTCATTCACAAAAAATAAGTGCATCTGCCTGAATGGGGTGTTAGTGACATTTTCTATTGTATATTTTGCTGTTTCTGTGCAGATTGTGGGAGATGTCTTTGCTCCTGCTTTGCTTTGCTTTGTTAATTTGTCATTTAGCAATTGAAGCATCGGGACGTTTTTGTGTTGTTCTGTTTCTAAAGGAGCTGGGGGAGGGGTAGAGCGCTGTGACGTATATTCTGTCTCTTCCCCGTTTATCTCCTCCCATCGGCACGTGGCTTTCATCTCTCAAGTCACTTGTCACTTTATTTACGTGGTGGGTGGGAAGGTAACTGGACAAATGCTGCAGTGCTGTGAATGCGAGCTGTAGCTGTGAGAAAAGCTGTGCAAATGGGCAGCTGCAGAAGGCTGGCTAGAGCCTAGGGTACTGGGACCACTGGTTTCCTGACAATGCAGAGCATGTTGATACTGGTACTTAGCAGCAGGTGCTACAGTAAATAGTCACTGTTGCTTATCTTATTGCATTGACCCTGGACCCATGAGCGCAAAGGAATGAAACTTGGAAACCTCTGGCAATGCTGGGATGAGAGCATTGCAATAATTTGCTTCTTTCCAAGCAAAGAGTCTTCTCCTGAGTTAACAGGCTGCGGGGTATCCAAACCTGTGCTGTCTCTGTGGTCATGGAGATTAGGGATTACCCAGTTGGAATGAACCTGGGCTTTAAATTTATTTGCGGAGGAGGCTGCTGTAGATGTCAGCCATTAGCATTGTATTTTAAAGACAAAGGGCCTCTGTGTAGTTTTTAACTATACGCTCTCACTTAGCTGCTATATAGAGCCTTATGATATATTGTGCCCTGACGCTTGCCCTTCCAGGAGTTTCCTTGTTGGTGTGCACAGATAGGTGTTTGCAATTTCTCTGCTAGTGACAAAGCACTTTGCCTTTTCTCTTCAGGAAGGGATTCTCCTCATCTCTCCATTTTCCTGCTTTAGCTCACATACAGGTGGAAGAGGCTGGTGCAGACTGGAGGAGACAGACCTGTCCTTGTGGCAGGCCAGGGTTTGATGCTGTCCTGGCTACTCCATTGCCAGGAGGCCAGCACGAGGCAGCCCCAGGTTTGCCAGATCCTGCCCTCTACCCACAGGGAACCAGCCCACCTTGCAGCTCCTGTGTACCCTGCACCAAGCTTTCAGAGGTGGGAGTGCAGGACAGGAAGAAACCACCATGGGTAGAGCCTTCTATACCATCAGTGGTGCCCAGCGACAGGACAAGGAGCAATGGGCACAAACTGTAGCACAGAAAATTCCATCTGAACATGAGGAAAAACTTCTTTACTTTGAGGGTGACAGAGCACTGGAACAGGCTGCCCAGACAGGTTGCGGAGTCTCCTTCTCTGGAGGTACTCAAAATCTGCCTGGATGCATTCCTGTCCAACCTCCTGTAGGTGAACCTGCTTTAGCAAGGGGGTTGGACTAGATGATCTCCAGAAGTCCCTTCCAACCCCTACCATTCTGTGATTCTGTGAAAGCCCCCCTGTTTGTGCCACAGACCCTCGGGCTGTCCAGCAGTCTTCAGGCACAGGTTGTAGAAATACAATGTAGAAATAAATTTCCTGCTTCCCAGCCCCTTTCGCCTGGGCGGCATTGTGTCTTTGCAGAGAGCGCTGGGTTTTAATCTTGAGTTTGATACTGGCCTGCTGGGTGAGCTTGGACAGGTCTCTGCTATTTTGCCTTGGCCTTCCCCTGTGCAGAGTAGTACAACCAAACTGGCCTTTCTGCAGAGCACTTTGGGAGGTAATGTTGAGGTCCAGTTGAAAATTGTTTTTTGCTGTTATTTTTGTTGTGCCTGGCACAGGGCAGCCTTCGTGATGGATGTAATTCTTAATGCATAAAGAAACATGAAGATCATTGCAAGGACTGTTTAGAAATGTGCTGGTGTTTCCAGCGCAAGTAGTCGAAGGGCCACACATCAAAAAGATTACCACCTGTGTGGATTTGTGCTCTGCCAGACTCCCTAAAGGGTCCAAGTCAGTTATTCTAGCTTATTGACCTGCCAGTTCAGTGGGCAGGACAGGGAGTGATCAAAGAGAGAAGGACCTTAACAGGCACCTTGTGACTTGCCTCCCCACCGAAGACCACCATGCAACAGCTTTCCTGGTGGTGTGCTTACTGTTGGCTGTAATGAAGATGTTGTACTCTCAGATGCCGGGAGGTGTTGGTGCAAATCGATCCTTGCAGTTGCAGTCTGGCAGCAAAACCATCTGGGACTGTTTCCATGTGTGCTGTTGGGACACGCACACATCTGGCATCTGCCACTGAGAGCGGCCACTCAACACTAGAAGTCAGGAGGTCAGCCACTAACCCTGGCAATGTTGCTAAATACTGCAAAGTCCTGAATAGAAACGATCAGCACTTCGCAAGCGCTGGGGCTTTAGAAGTTGTGCGTGCTTACAGTGGAGCAAACATTCAGTCCTCTTCCTGAAGAAGAGAGATGCTGTCTGATGCTGGAGCCAAAGTGATGTGGTGCAGCATGCTGTGTTAGGAGACTGAGTGTAGGCAGGTGCATGATAGTGCTCATTGGGAGGGATTGTTTGAGTTAATCAACATTGATCAACAGCTCATGGAGGGGAAACAAAGCCAGGAGATCCCTGCAGCTGTTCATCATGCTCTGGTGGCTTAAAACAAACAAGCAGAAGAGAGAGACAAAGAAATTCATTTGGGGAATGCCAAATGCACATTTGAGAAGAAATTTTTTCCTGTCTTAGATATGGCATTTGTAAGCATGCAGCAGAAACAAAACAAAACAAATGTGTAGATTTGTAAATGGGCTCTGCTTGGCTGTCAGGGCAGGGTTGTCTAGATGATCTTTTTCAAGATGGGCAGGAACATGCCCAGCAAACCTCTTGCGAGTATGGAGTGCAGTGCTTTAAAAGGCAAAGAGGTGACATTTAACTTTTTTTCCTGTCTTTTAAAATATTCTGGTTGCTGTAGACTGCAGTTAAAATGCTGAGCTCCAAAAGAAATTATTCCTGTAAAATGTGTTTCCTAGCTTTGACACAGAAACTGGGTAATTCCTCTTCAAAGTCATTGCAGAGGAGATGATTTGAAGCAATAGGAAAAGTCAAAAAGTGAACTGCAAAAAATTTTTTTTTCATTATTTATTCTCTATTTCCATGTATACTTGTAAATGGATTAGTGTATATTTTTTTAAGTCTCATCTAGGCTTAGCAAATGCAGTTTTTCACTGCGTTTTTTAGCCATTAAACATTTGGTGAGCTTGGAGCACTCTTGGTGAGACTGCTGAGGCGTGCAGATTAGTTTACTGAGAATTTGTCAGGTTCTACTCAAGTTTTAATTAACGTCATTTTGTTCTGTTGCTTTACAAATTCTACACATCCCAGGCACCCACATGAAAACTAATTTTGGAGGCTGAGAGGAAAAGGTGATCCTGTTGTAAGGCTGTTGGACTCCCTTGGGAATAGGAACATCTGCTAAGCAGTACTGTAATTTGCTTTTTTCCCCTCCTGATGCTATTGTAAAGGATGGAGGCAGGTTCACAGGAGGTCTCAGTGGTGCTTCTTCTTGGGTGGCACCACTGAGAGTCTGGCCAGGTAGCTTTGCATGGTACCCAGTATGCTGCCTTTCCCTGTTGAAATGTTTACCTTGAGCAGAGTTCAGTGCTTGACCTCAGCGACTCAGGAGCTCCCCTTGCAATATGTAAGGACACTCTGCTGATTTCCAGCCCTCCTGGGACCCACCATGCACCTGAACTCAGTATCAGCAGAGCAGCCTGCAGCTTTCTGGAGGTGCTCAGTGCAAACAGGAGTTACTGGCAGACCACCATGAGTATGTGTGCATGCAAGCCAGCCTTTGCCTTGGTGCTGCAGGGAGATGTTACCCTTCCTTGTCATCCTCCCTGCTGCAGTGTGCAGACGTTGCTCAGGCAAAGCCTCTGCTTGCATGTTGAGAGGAGGCATGCAAAGAGGGGAGCAGGATGGGGCCAATGGCTCCTCTCAACACCCCTGCTCAAGATGCAGACAGAGATCCTGGAGGGACACATCCTACTCTGAAGCATTGCTGGCTGGTCCCACTCCAGGGGCCGGACCATCTGCTCTCCCTGACTGAGGAGATTCCCTGACTGCTCTGCACCTGACAGCAGAGTGGTGAGGGAGATGGACAAAATTGCCTCCCCCTCTCCCCACTCAGCAACCAAAGCAGGTGAGATACTCTGAAAGCTAAAACTGTGCTCTCCTCTGTGAGCCAGCAGGATGCAGGGGTCTGGTTGAGATGGTTTTCGTTCAGCAGCGGCTGCGAGAGACTCTCTGGGCTGGCTGTGTGTTTGTGTGCATCTTGCAGATAAATCACGCACGGACCAGTGAACATGACTACAGCTTTTTAATCCAGTATTTATGTTGTGTCTTTAATTGATGTGGAGAGATAAGTCAGCCAGCAAAGTGATTAATGCAGCATTGCTGTGGGGGAACGCTGTTCAGCTGCGGTGCCGACTCAGACGGTTTTTCATCTATAGCCAGCGACTTGTAAATGGTTACCAGAAGCTTTCTGAGAGCTTGTAACAGCTCATCCCTTAAGTGCTTTCCCTCTGATCCCACCTGCATCCAGGGTGAGATTTGTCCACATTTTGGGGCTCTCCTGGAGACTGGTGCTCAGTGCAGCCCTGCTTTAAGTAGGAGTTTGGACTAGCAGTCCTCCAGAGACAGAATTGTTCAGTGACTTTTCACAGCTCCAATGCCTTCTGGTAACAAGGCTGGTTGTTCTGGCTTGAAACAGACAATATTTTTGCCTTTCTCTGATGGGAGAGTGAGGTTCTCGCTTGATTAGAGCAGCCCCTTTGGTGAGGACGTGGTTGTGGCAGTGGAGAAAGTCAAAGGTGGCAGGGTTATCACTGGGCGTCTGGAGGCATTGCATGGTAATGTTCTTCTTGGAAGCGG